CCAATCATGTTGTCAATTGACCTAATTAGTGTTAATTGGTCTTCTAGGTTGTATTGGTGATCCTCTTACCATCTTGGCTTCTGAGAGACACTGACACTTTGAGAAGCTCTTTTTATACCCAATCATGTTGTCAATTGACCTAATTAGTGTTAATTGGTCTTCTAGCTGTTCGTTATATGCTCAATTTCCTTTTTCCAGCCACTTATTGCTACTTGTCCCAACTTTTTGGGGATTTGTTGACATTGTGAAATTTTGAATCAACATATTTTTCCTTTAAAATGTTATATATACTCAGATTAAACTTTTGATCTGTCATCTATGTTATATTACGAATAAAATGTTGACATTTGCCATATCCACATCATTGCATTCAGATTCTATTCACAATTTGTTTAGTGTCCCAACTTTTTTGGAATCCGGTTTGTAGATGTTGGCACCTCCACATCATTGCATTCAGTTTTTATTCACATTTTGTTTAGTGTCCCAACTTTTTTGGAATCCGGTTTGTAAAAGGATTTCTAATGTATGAAATGTAATTTTACATGAGTTCATGCTGAGTTCTGGGAGAAGACAGCAAGTTTTGCCCCAACAGAACAGTGAATATGGGGAGACCTAACAGCATTCCAGAGAGATGCTGTAATTCCTTTGGAATGCTGCAGGCTGATCTCAGCAATAACAAAGTGTGAGTATCTTGTAAACAGAATTACATGGAAAAAAACAAGCAAAACTGTTCTCTTTACCATATAAGGAAACAGACTGTAGCGAAAGATCGTGTGTCGGTAACTTGTAAGCTGAGAAGCAGAACAGTACACACAGCAATACCTTTTAAGGGCACGGTTTGGGGACAGTCTAGTTGTGAATCAGGAGCCAACCTCTCTAAAGAACTGTAGCAAATCCGAATAGAACACCAGGCTAAGTGGGATGGAAAAAGGGTTGGCCAGCAAGCCCAAAAGTCAATAAAAACCAAGCCCAGAAAAACCACAGGGCTGAATAAGAAGTGGAGGTCTGAAGAGTAGGACAATGTTGAGGCATCCCCAAGAACTACGTGGATGAATCTGGAACAGCTCATAAGAGGATTCTTAATTCATCAAGATAGGAATACTTTTGTTCAGCCGGGCTGACTCCAAACCAGATTCCCCAGGATCAGGACAGCTTTTGGGGATTTAAGAAGATTTCTTCTAGGGCTCTGGAAGAGAAATTATCGTGCCATTTTCTAAGTCTTCGGGCAGAAATAGTGAGCGATTCCTAACCCATTGTCCAAATTACTAAATTTATATGAAATAAAAGTGTTTCTAAATTGAGAGGTAGAGTCAGGATGAGAGAGTGTTGTTCCGTTTCCAGCATGTTGAAAGTCACCACATAAACTGTGTGCTGTCAGGGTGGTTTGTAACAGGTTTAGTTAAACTTGGTTGGTTGGTTAGTGAGACAGACTAGGAGGTTTGAAGGGTTTATCCTGCTTTGGGGCTCCAAGTGACTAGACTGTCCCCATCATTCAGAACCCAAAAACAGTGAAAGTCCATCACTGCAACTTTCACTGTTTTTGGGTTCTGAATGATCACGTCTTCATTAATGTTTCTCATGGTTCAATTATGGGGGATAATTGCCACACTGTTAACTCCTGTAATCACACATCAGTCACAAAAAACCCAAGAAAATGTCTGATAATAATGTTGTTACTGCTCTCAGGAATTCAACCCAACCCTGGACCCCCCACTAATTACAGCACACCAAATGACTTTAAAAACGCCTCTGGGCTTCATTTTCTGCATGTAAACGCTCGTAGCCTTCTGAAAAAACTTGATGCTGTGAAAATCCTGGTCAGTTCTCTGGGGCTGATGTTATCTTTATTTCTGAGTCCTGGCTCAACAAATCTGTAATGAATAATGACGTGGCAATCAATGGATTTAACATCTACCGCTGTGATCGTCAAAAAAGGGGGGGTGGAGTCATTATTTACATTAGAGATACCCTGGTTTCAAGTCTTGTGACTTTCAAAACAATTCCAAATCAGTTTGAAGCCTTATCTGTAAACATCACCTTGAATGGAGGCCAGATTTTAACTGTAGTCTGCTGCTACCGCCCCCCCACAGCTTCACCTGAGGCATTAAATGCCATGAAGGAATTCCTTGGTAATTTAAAATTCACAGAGGTCTTTTTAGCTGGAGATCTCAACATTGATTGGTGTAAGTCGACCCCCCTCTGTGACAAATTCAAGGAATGTTGCTTGTCTTTTAATTTATCCCAACTGATCGACTCCCCCACTAGATTAAATAAAAGCCATCCTGACAATTCCTCCATCTTAGACCTGTTTCTAACTAATATGCCTCACAAATTCCCTGGTACAGGTGTATTCGCTGATCTTTTGAGTGATCATTGTGTGACAGTGGCTTTAAGAAATAGTAAACTTCCACCTTCTAAGCCCAGATTAATTAAAAAAAGGGATCTGAAACATTTCTGTGAACAGTCATTCCTCTGGGATCTGTCTCACTTTGACTGGCATCGTATTCTGTTAACTGATGATGTGAACTCTGCTTGGAACTATTTCCATAATAATTTCATTTATTTCCTGAACTTACATGCTCCTTTTCGTCAGTTCAGAATAAAGGGACGAGACAGCCCCTGGTTTACTCCAGAGCTAGCTGACCTCATGCACAGGAGAGATCATCTTTGGGCTGCAGCGAGAAAATCTGGCTCAGACACTGACTGGTTGAGTTTCCGACAGATGAGGAATAAATGTACAACTTCTGTCAAAGCAGCAAAACGCAACTATTTCTTATCTCAGACTTCCAAAAATCTAAATGACCCTAACAGATTCTGGAAAACAATTAAATCTCTCTCAGGCACCCCCCCAATCATCTGACCTCCCATCACAACTTCTCGTTAACTCTGCTCCTGTGTCAATTAAGCACGAGATCCTGAACTGTTTCAACAAACATTTTGTTGCTTCTGGTTCTTTATTTGACACAGTTACTAATGGAAGATCAGCCACTTCACTTAATAACCAAACTTCTACAAATCAAATCCCTCCTACAAGTCAATCCTCAGTTAATCACACCTTCTCTTTTTCTCCATTCTCAGTCAGTGAGGTCAATAAACTGTTAAAAGATCTTGATCCTAAAAAATCTGCAGGTCCAGATGAACTTCCACCTTATTTCTTAAGGCTGGCTGCTCATATCATCACAGTCCCTGTGACCCACATCTTCAATCTCTCCATAAGACAAAACTCCATCCCAGACACTTGGAAAACAGCCTTTGTTCTTCCTTTGCTGAAGGGAGGTGACCCCACATCACTGAACAACTATCGACCAATCTCTAAACTCTGCATTTTAGCCAAGGTTCTAGAAAAACTGATAAACTCTCAAATCAAAAATTACCTGGACTCATTTAACATCTTACCTCCACATCAATCTGGTTTCAGGAAACAACACAGCACAACCACTGCTTCACTGAAGGTTCTTAATGACGTTGTTGAAGCACTGGATGCTAAAGATTATTGTGCTGCACTTTTCTTAGACCTGTCTAAAGCTTTTGACACTGTGGATCATAACATCTTGTGTCATAAACTCTCAGAAATCGGTTTCTCAGATCACACCATTGGTTGGTTCTCTAACTATCTTTCAGACCGGAGGCAATGTGTTCAACATAATGGTACTTCCTCCAGTTATTTAACATTCAACAATGGTGTACCACAAGGCTCAGTCTTAGGACCCACCCTCTTTACAATCTACATACATAATGTAGGTAAAAACATCCCTAATGCATCCATACATTTCTATGCTGACGACACAGTTGTTTATTGTCGAGCTAAAACAGTTGCTAAGGCTTTCCAGCTTTTGAAATCTGCATTTAACTACATCCAGACTGATTTGTTTCACCTCAAACTTGTCCTAAATGCCGAAAAAACCAAAGGGATGCTTTTTTCAAATAGGAAGTTGGTCCCAGCAGTTCTTCCTCCGATTTTATCCTCAAATGGTGTCCCCATTGAGTTTGTTGATTCCTATAAATATTTGGGTATCTTGGTCGACTCACATCTTTCTTTTAAGCTCCATGTGGAAAACTTGGTAAAGAAACTGAAAGTTAAACTGGGTTTCTTTTTCAGAAACAGATCCTGTCTAACCCTGAATGCTAGAAAACGCCTTGTATCTGTGACTTTCCTTCCCTCAATTGATTTTGGTGATATTATTTACATGAACGCTCCTACAAGAACCCTGCAGATGTTGGATGCTGTCTATCATGGTGCACTAAGATTCATAACTGGCTGTGATTATCGTACCCACCACTGCACCCTGTATTCATTGGTTAACTGGACATCATTAACTTCACGCAGACTCTCTCACTGGTACATTTTCATCTTTAAATCACTTCTTGGTCTGCTGCCTTCATACATCTCCTCCTACATGTCTCTGCGTGAGTGCAGCTACGGAGTGCGCTCTCAGGACATTATTACCTGCAGTGTTCCCTCAGTGAGGACTGAACTAGGCAAAAGGGCCTTCTCCTACTCCGCTCCTGTTTCCTGGAATATCTTACAAAAAGATTTGAAGCTCTCGACCTTGACCTCTCTAAGTGGCTTTAAGAATCTGTTGGACTCCTGGCAGGGACCAATGCAGACATGTTCCTGTTTTTAGTTTTATACATTTGTCTTGGAATCTAGCTGTTTTTTTTTTGTTTTTGTTTGTTTTTTTTGTTACCTTTTCCTTTTAGCCATCCTATTTAAAAAAAAATAAAAAACCCTGCAGTATGACTTTTTATAATTGTTTATTGTTGTTGCTGTTGTCCATTGTTGTCATCTTTCTTTGTTGAAATCAGGTCTCTCTTGTAAATGAGTCCTCGAGGCTCAATGGGATTTACCTGTCTAAATAAAGGTTGATTGATAATTGGCTTTTATGTATGTTAATGTTTCTGTAAAGTGCCCTGAGACAACTTTGTTGTGATTTGGTGCTATACAAATAAACTGGATTCAACTGAATATTTAAATGTACAAGAGTGCACTCACAGCAGCATTTATTAATTAATTAATTTATTTTAATTACATGTAAAAAAATGTATGGCACATCTCATTTTGAAGAACATGTCAGCTGTATATTTGTACACAGTACACATGTATTTGAACATTGTATTACTTGTCATCTTAGATTAGACGTTTTGCTCTACAGCAACTTAGACTGACAAAGATCCAGGATTGGTAGGATTCAGAATCAGGGTGGTCCAGGATGAGGTGGGTCTGGGTCCCTGTATGTAGGTGAACTGTGCCTGCTGTCATCGCTCATGTTTGGATAAAACCTCTCCTCGGTCCACCGCTGCCACTCTGCTCAGCTCCTTACAGGATAGATGGGTGTAAAACTCAGCCACAACAGGGCAGTGGTTTGAAGCCACACCACCCCAGGACCAGTTATCTGGAATCCAGGGATTAGTCAGGCCCTCCCGCACCACTAGGCAGTGACCTGTCAGATGAAAAGAGACAAGAAAATCAACATTTGTTGGAACGGAATAACACAAAGTAAAGATTTACTGTGGGGGTCCTAGATTACACAAGGACCCCCCCCCCCACCACACACACACACACCTTTAAATAAAGGTGAAATGAAAATGTCTTCACTTTTCTCAACAATGGAGCCTGATTCTGTTTGAATCCATTACGAGATAAACATTGGCTGATGTGCTGACTTTCATGGGACTTCCTGGTTCTCTCATGGTAGCTAGCTCTATGGGAGGACTTCATCCATCCATCCATTTTCTTTACCCGCTTATTCCATTTTGGGTCACGGGGGTCGCTGGTGCCCATGTCCAGCAATCATTGTGCGAGGGGCGGGGTACACCCTGGACGGGTCGCAAGTCCATCACAGGGCCACATAGAGACAAACGAGACAAACAAACATTCACTCTCTCACTCACACCTAGGGACAATTTAGAGTTTATGGGAGGACTTCATTAGTATAAATGAATCCACTCCTGCTAATTATCTGTTTTCATATTCCTGGAACACCGGGTCAAGGTGGAGGAGTAGCTGCACAGTCAGGATCACTGAACAAGACTAAATCAATTATTAGTAATAATTATTTTAAGTTTTTGACCCTCAAGAGTCCTCTAGTCTTTGGAAGGGGAAAAACACATTTGTTTGTTGTTGTTTATCCTGATGCATGTTCAATAATCCAGGTAGAAAAATCTAAAAAAGTTAAATCAGACTTAACTTTTTTAGATTTGTTTGTTGTTGTTTATCGTCCACTAGGCCCTCATTCTCAACTTTTGTTTTTTGAGGGTGCCATTGTCCCAATAAAAATCTTGAAAGCTGATTTTGATTTTAAATGTTATTGTTCAGATTTATGATAAATGACTACAGTGGTGGTTTCTGAGTTGAGAGTTATAAGCAGCTGCACAGGGTGGCCTCTCATCAAGGGTGGGAAGAGTGCCCGGCCCCGCCCTCTTCTTAAAAAAATAAAACACATTATTTCATAAAGCCTGTCTAGCCTACGGGGAGTGGGCGCCCTCTGCCAGGTGCAGGGTGTGTAGAGGTCTGAGAAACAGGTTGTGAAGAGGGCGGTTCTCTTGTCTCCCTTGCTGGGACAGGGATGCATCTAATCGATAAGTAAATCACACTGCTGCTGATTGATCAGAAAAAGCACATTTCATTCATAATATTGTGAATATAGCCAATAATTCACAGCTTATTTGTGTGAAGTCACTGGAAAATAATACAGAAACCAATCTGCACACCAAACAAGGTGATTTTGTTTTGCCCGAGTTGTCTGGACTCATGTTTGTGGATGGGCGGTGATAACCTACTCCACCCAACTTCAAATTACACACATGGAAGATGGACGAGAACAGGCCAAATCCATCAGGTGCTCAGCTGAGGAAGAGAAAAGAAGAGGAGGAAGAAGCAGATAAAGGTTTGCAGCTGTGTCATCTCTTGGAGCATGGAAGCTGTTATTTAAGATAGTCTTACTGCTGATGAGTAACCCAAGTTGTTTACACTGAGCAGCTTAGGACAACATGTTTGTTGAGGAACTTGTTCAGAACAACTCAAGCTCTGGTCAAGTGTTCAGTTCTTCCCTGTTGTCAAGTAATGTCGTTTATTGAATGAAATCGTATCTGCCAGAGGCTTCCAAGTAACAGATTTGTACTCTGTGATGTAGAAGAATTGTTTTCTATGCATTGATTATTATGTGATTGTAACAAGTTGTCCTACATTCTGTGATTAGGGTGAAGTGAAATGATTTATACTGTATAAAATGGAATGCTATAGGAGTTCATGCTGTGGTCTGGGAGAAGGGAAAAGTGCTGAGTCGACGCCTATAAAACAGCAGTGAAAGGAGCCAGCTGTGTTCTGGGGGAAAGGTTACAAAGGAAAAGTGGTGAGTTGACATCTTTAAAACACTTTAAAACAGTGGTAAAGGGAGCCAGCTGCATTCTGGTAGAAAGATTACATTTCCCTTGGAATGTTGCAAACGGCTGACCTAATCAGAACAGCAGTACATGTAGAAGCCGAGCAAAGCTGCACATTACCATAAAAGGACAGGCTATCCACCTTATTCCGGATTTGGCGCCACTACCCATAATTCATAGCGGAAGCCGGTTGTTTACTTCCGCCCGCGATCCCGCGCTGTTGTTTACGTTTGTGGGTTAACACACTTGCTAGCAATTTAATGTTTTTGACACAAAAGTTTCCTTTACCTGAAGTAAATGGCAGCACATCAGAGGTGGATACATTGCAAGGATGTTTTAAAAAGCTGCGAAGATAAGTCGTTAACTGTGTCTCACCCATCATTTCTCACGGACTGGGTAGATGATATGAAATCATGGCCCGGAATTACCTACATCGATATTATTAATTACCTTGTTTTTTCTGAAGGCGTCGATGGCGAGGAATTGCGGAATTATAAAAGCACAGAGGCGTATAATTACCTCCACAGCAACAAAATAGATACAGTTTTGCTCAAGAAACAAGGCGACTTTATCTTTCTGAAAGCAGCTGTTGAGCCGAGCCAGAGCGTTGGTCAAGCTAAACACTTAGCATGGGTCATGCTCAGAGAAAGTGGAGTGGTAGAAACGGTCGGCTGTTCCTGTATCGCCGGATTGGGAAAATCATGCAGTCATGCGGCAGCTATTCTGTGGAAGGTATATCACTTATCTGGATATCAGAATATTTACATCACTGAATCAGAATCACTGAACTGGGCGAAAGCTGTGAGCTTCCTGTCTGCCTGTGTTTACATGTGGAAGCCAGAGCATTGTGCAGCCTGTGATCTACTGTCACAAAAAATTAAACATTAAAAAGGCTGTACAGTATTTTTATATTATTTGTTTTTAAAAAAGTACAGACTGGATGCAAGGCAACCTAACATTTACAGAAAAGGAAAAAATAAATGACAACAGCAGGGATGTAAATAACTTGTTTCATTTTATTAGGAGCAGTGATAGCTGAAGTCTGTTAAATTGTTACAGGTCCAGAATGCTGTGATCAGTGGAAAGACGGGGCTAGCATGTACAGATGAGCAGCGCAGGTGGAATGCTGGGACAGCAAAGAATCTTCAACCCAAACGTCTAAGCATGATAAACTTCAGACACCACAAGGCAGAGCAGCAGTATAACATCAACTCAAGGGCTGCAGACACGATTAGTCTTTATTTTCATAAGTGTTATAAGGACTTGATCTTGTACAGGCATTGTAAATTCATTGTTGTCATCTCCTTCCAGTGCTGACACAAGAGTGTTAAATGTTTCTAACGCTATACCAGTGTACAGCAAAGCGTCTGCGTCATTTTGTAGAAGAAAAAATGCAACTTCATCACACTGAGTCGTCTTGTCCTGGACATCTTTTCTGCCAGACGTGTTGCAGTATTGATGATGATCTTTTAGCGAAGGGTCCTCCCACTGTGTGTGGACTGAGTGCAGATGTGGCCCAGGAGGTTGTGTGGAGACGCTAGCCAGGTCTGGGATGACTGACGGTGAATCTACGATGCACTCTGAATAACACAAAAATACAAAATCAAATCAGCGTAACACAACCTGTCAAGTGTCACTTACCTTATTACGTTTTAGGAAGGAAATTTGTAATTCCACACTCGTACACACATGATACATCTTAAATGTCAATAGTGCTGTTTTAGTGGGGCTTTAGCCCCCTTAAATTTTCCTAAGCCCCATCAAATTATGCTATAATATCAAAATATTGTGATTAGATTTTAGTTTTTCATCCTTAAAAAAATCAGTTGGAGCTAGGTTGCATTTAAGCTTTTTCTTTAAAGAGTTTAAAAGAAGTTTTTTTTTCAGCTGTGTCTGTTTCAAATAACCTGCCTCTAATAACTCAACATATTCTTTATTAACAAAATCCCCAGACTTTTACAGCCCTGGGGGCTGAATTTTACCAGGTTGCTAAATAAAAAGCTATTCTCGGACAGTTACATGAAATCATATACATCTCTGCTAGCATGCTACTGATGTTAATTACTAACCACTTTGTCTTTAAGATTTGGATGCCAATCAAGTACTTTCTCTTAGTGATAAAGTATTTTGGAATTAAATTAATAATACACTAACATCCACAATAACACTGCAACCAGCTAGCGCTGATGCTAACACCATCCGCAGTATAGTAATTATAACATTACAATTATAACATTAATAATAATATAATTCAGTAAAAGATAAGAGCTAAGCATGATTAAAATGTGAAGCGGGGACAAATCACATTTTCAATTTCACTCACCGGGAACAGATTCGGCCGTTTTGTCGAAGTTGCTGGAAGCTGTCTGGCTCACAGTGGTCCGGATGAGCTGCCTTCTTTTCTTTGGTGGGGCCCGGTCATAGCCCAGATAGAGCTCCGGGTCGGGGTGAAGCTCTGTGGGCTTTTTATCAATAAAATGAAAGGAGCAAACATAAACTCTCTTCGGGGGGTATTTGAGTTTTAAAGCTGCCAGCCACGCTCGTTTTCGATCCTCCTTCCTCGGCATGGAGTGCAGTTCGTAACGCGCTGGGCACACACAGGCCTTTCGAAGTTGTTGATGTGCAAAACAATACGTTTCTAGCTCGTCTTTCAGTTTTCTGGAGCTGTTGTGACAGCCAACAACAGCACAAGTTGAACCCGAACTCATATTAGAATTGTTTAAGCCTCCTGCTACAGCACAAATTGCTAGAATTTGTCATTAGCAAAAGTGCCTCTCGCTTTAGCTCACCGGAAGTATAAAACCGGGAGGGGGCGGTACCTGTCTGTCATGGCAGCCCACATACGCTCTTGCAGAATAAGGTGGATAGAAAGAATCATGTGTTGGTAACTTGTAAGCTTGTGAGCTGAGAAGCAGAAGAACAATACAAATCAATACCTTATAAGGGCACAGTTTGGAGACAATCTAACTGTTTACCATAAGGCCGATCTTCCTAAAGAACCAAGTCCAATCAGAAAATGACACCAAGCTAGTAAAAGGGAAAACTGGGTTGTCCAGTGAAAAGATCTCCTATTTAAACCAAGCCTACTGGCAAGTTAGGGCTGAACGGATCGTGGAGTCGAAGGATTAGGGCAATATAGCTTCACCCCCAGGAGCCACTCAGAGGGATCAGGAACAGCTCAAAGAAGACTTCTTTTTCATCAAGATAGGAATATTCTTTCGTTTCAGCCGAGCTGACACCAGACGAGATTCCTCAGGATTAGGACTGCTTTCGGGGAGTTAAGGGAGATCTCTTCCAGGGCTCTGGAGGAGATATTTATCGTGCCATTTTCCAAAAGTCTTCGGGCAGAAATGGTAAGTGACCCCTAACATATTGTCCAAATGCTAAATTTTATAAGAAGTAACAGTGTTCCTATAATTAAGAAGAAAGGTTAGATTGAGAGTCTTGTCCTGCTTCCAGCCTACTTGAAAAGCTACCACGTAATCTGTGTGCTGTCAAGGTGGATTGCATGAACTATCTGTCATTAATCTTTTTAAATGATCAAATGTAACCAATTACAATGTGCTGATAACTCTGTACCCCAGCAAATCCCTAATTAAAGCCAAGCATAAAATGTAAAATTCTGGACTGTCATTTCTACACATTCGTATTCAAAAAATTAGAAAGCTTGGTTCAATTTCATCAAAAAGAGGAGTTTTTTTTAAGGTTTCGCAGTGTTGGATTTCATATTTTTACACCTTTTTATATTTCCTATCAAGCATTCAAATGTCATGTTATACAAAGTGTTTGTGTGCCTTTCTTCAAGGGTTGAACTATATTTATAGAAAATGTTTACTAATTCTGACTATTTTACCTTTACATAGAATCTTATATTAGCTAATGATAATTTTACAAGTTCACATTTGATATATTACAAGCAATCAAATCATGCCAGATAGCAAGTAAGATTTGCTCTGAGCACAAGGTAACATAAATAAAGCTAGAACACATTTCTTTAATTTAGACTTAATATAGTTGACTAAGTAAAATCCCTCAGGTCCGTATGATAATAACAATTAGCATTTAATCGTTTAATCATTGTTTGATACAGGGTCGGTTTAGATGAGAGGACACAGGTTTGATCTTCA